GGCGGCATTATGCAAATATTTCCACATAGTGAGGTAGATATGTGGAGGCGTGTTAGAACTAGCCGTTTTAGGGCGGCGTGGCAGAGTCTTAACTTTGATAAAGAATATCTCTTTGGTTTTGAGACTTTAGTCTTTGCAACTTCAGGGATCTTATCTATGCACAATCAGTTTGTAACACTCCAAAGAGAAAGGAAAACTTGAAATTGCATCATATGACCCCTTTAACATTGTTAAACATTGTGTCACGTGGATGGAATATGCATGGAAATGATATGCAGATGAGGTTATGCATAGTAAAACTAGCTGTTGTTGAAACAAGCTGCAAAGGGTTCTGTAAGGCTCTTTCCCATCCATCATCAGATTCAGTCTGAATGCAGCAGTGAGGGTGGTGATGGATGGCAGAGACAGGTGAAGGTGGAGATGGTGGTCAGCTGCAGAATTAACACAGCTGGCAATAGGCTGTGGGTTCACTGCCTGTGAATACATGATTGTTAGAACGATTAGTTTGAGTAAAGCTTTGTTTCATGCATTGCTGACTTGTATATGTATGCATTTGTTGTGATGCTTACTTTTATTCATCCTATTGTTGTCAGTAAATAAAATATATTTTATTAATTCATGCATTAATTCATTGTTTGACTGATGTATTCACATCGACTGCATTGGTAACTAGTGTATATTCATGCATATGTCGTCATGACAAAACAAATGACATTTTGGTTGTCTTACTAAAACATGTCTTTTTCAGTAAAAAACAAAAACAAAAAGTAATATAATTATTGGTCAGTATTTATCATTATTATTGTTTGTAAGTGTTGGGGTGGACTAGCAATTTATTCTGGGGTAATCATAATTTTTAAGTAGTAATGGTCTACTTACATTTTTCGAGTGTAAAAGCAACAGTCTTCTCCAAAGGCGAGATCTTCGAGCAGCTGCCCGACGTCTCTGTGCAGATATTGCAAACGCTGAGGAAAACTCTACTACAACCCCGATTTCAGAAAAGTTGGGACGTTTTGTAAAATGCAATAAAATCAAGAATATGTGGTTTGTTAACTGTCTTTAAACTTCATTTAATTGACAAACGTACAATTAAAAGATATCCAATGTTTTTACTGACCAACTTAAATGTATTTTGTAAATATAATTTTTTTTTTTAATTTTGAGGGCTGCAACACACTCCACAAAAGTTGGGACAGAGGCATAATAAAAGTGAAAAGGTTATAGAATATCCAATAAGCAGGTGAATTGGTAATAGGTCAGGGTATCATGATTGAGTTTATACAGAGCATCCTGTCTTTGCCAGCAAACCTGGATCGTGGCTCACCACTTTGTGCCAAATTTCATGAGAGACAAATCAAAAATCACATTTCCCAATGCAAAATTGCAAAGATTTTAGGTCTTTCACCAACTACCACACGTAATATTGAGAAAAGATTCAGGGAATCCAAAGAAATCACAGTAGATGTAGGGCAAGGCAGGAAACCTCAGCTGAATGTGCTTGACCTTTGAGCCCTCAGATGGCATTGCATAAGAAACCATCATGCTGCGGTGTGAAATATAGCCACATGGGCTCGGGAGTACTATAGAAAACTGTTGTCATTTAACACAGTCTGCAGCTGCATCAAGAAATGTAATGTGAATCTCTGTTACACAAGGATAAATTTATACATCAATTCTAGGCAGAGACACCATCCAGAGACCATTCAGACTTCAATCAGTGACAGGTGCAAAAGCAAACATTCGTCGTGTTATGGGGATGCATCAGTGCAAACGGCATGGGTGACTGGCGTATGTGTGAAGGTACCATTGACATGAAGGCATATTTTGGGATTGTACAGAGACATATACTGCCATCAAGATGACATCTTTCATGGGAAGTTCATGGTTATTAGATCAAGACGATGCCAGCTCTCGTTCTGCATGTGCTACAACAGCGTGGTTTCGTAGACACGTGGATGTGACTGTCTGGCCAGCAGATCTGTCTCCTATTATTAGGATGACCATACAGGCCATTTTTACAGGACACACCCTTGCCAGGATTTCTATATTGCCTAAAATATCCAGGTTTTAGCTGTTTGCACTGTGCAGATCGATTGTTATATGACATTATTTCATGAGAGCTAAAGAGAGCAGAGCAGACGGCTCCTTATGCTTTCAAATCACTCTCGTGTCATACAACGATCTGTGTGCAGCTTGCATCGCTTTGATCGTTTTCACCTTCTCACACGCGACGCGCCACGATTGATCGATTATGTACAATACCTGCATGTTATTGGTCAAACTACTTTGGATGTTTTAGGCAATATAAAAATCCTGGCCAGGACGTGTCCCATATACTGTAAATGGCACATATGGCAACCCTATCTATTGAAAATGTATGGTCCATCATGAAAAGGAGAATCGGACAACAATGACTATGAACTGTTGAGCAGCTCAAGTCTTGTATCAAGTGTGACTGGGCAAAAATTTAGCTTGCAACACTTTAACAAATAGCATCCTTAATTCCCAGATGATTAAAATGTGTAATTAAAAGGAAAGGTTACTTGACACAGTGGTAAACATGCCTCTGTCCCAACTTTTTTGGAGTGTGTTGTAGACATCAAAATAAAAATTTGTTTATATTTACAAAATAAAATTAAGTTGGCCAGTGAAAACACTAGAATTATTTCTTTGTACTTTAATCAATTAAATAAAGGTTAAAGAGAATGAACAAATAACATTCTTGATTTTATGGCATTTCACAAAATGTCCCAACTTTTCTGGAATTGGGGTTGTAGGTAAGGTTTGTGGAGTTACTGATGCTATGAGGTGTTTGTGCACCTGTCGCTCTTATCTTTCTTTATTATTATTGTCAAACTTATAATTACATACAAGCTCAGGGAAAGATGGCTGTATCTAACAATAACAAATTATAATGACAAAAAATACAGAAAACATAAATATAATGGGTTTGCATTCATCATACAAGATTATATACATAGAAAAAAAGCACAATGACAAGGTTAAATATCTTTGAATAATTCATCATGATGCATTTTTTTAATAAGCCAGAGGAATGAAACAAGAGAGGTAAATTCAACAAGAAAACATAAAATGTAAAATTAACAACATAATTAAGAGAACGATTTTGGGTTTTTGTAATAAAAAATAATACCTTTAAGGATTAAACTGTGGGTCAGGTGTTAAGTTAAAAACGTAAATCAACCCCAAATTTATTACAATCACAAAATAAATAGGCAG